CTGGAACATCCCGTGGACGTCGTCGAATACGATGGTTCAAACGTAACATACAACTATTTATTAGGCCTAAGTACTTAGAATTCGCGCTTGATCTACCATATGTTATAAAACGTTCATTCAGGGTTTGTTTCCCCGTCAAAGGTCGATGTTATCGCAAGAATTGCGATATACTGTTTTTACAGTCTGACCTACAGCATAAACTACATTTAAGTTAATTGAGCACTGACTCGCCTACCGGCAACAAATTGCCAATGCAATCAAGCGGTCAGTTACACAAATATAGTTGAATAGGAGGTAGGTAAGGAACCGATGTAAAATTTGTCTGTATAAATTTAAGTTGAATTGCGTCTTAATATTCCAATTAGATAATTCCCATAGAATGTTTAATCGTCCCGAAGGTGCTTTCACTTATATTGTCTACAAATATCAAGAGATCAGAGATTTATACAAGGTCATATGTCGTCTATCCGACTGCCATATAAAATAATGCAAATCTAATAAGCAGGTTTAACCTTAACAATACTATGGGCCACGTATGTAAGAATGGCACTTCCATGAAATGTCAGTCCCTCAGACAGAGTGGAAGTCACAGAGTTCCAGGATGTTTTCCAACTATCAACAAAGACGTTAAAGTCTTCACTTTAACTCTAAATCAAACAGAGTAATGGTCAGAGCGACTTAGTTTAATCAAACCTCGAAGAGTATGATGGCGCTCGATAAATTCCAAACATATGGATTTTGTCGCCTATCTGACGAAAGGCCGCGAACGCTGCGTTTAACACTTTAGGTGCAAAAAATGTCCACTCAGCATCTCCCACAGTGACGTTGGGTTAATCAAAGTACTGATTTTTAACAGAGATAAGAACCTGTTTTATAAATTATATTCACTATTGTGAAATAATACATTTGACGGAATCCACTAAGTAAAAATACAACAGGTTCATTATTCAAGTTCCAATATAACTGATAGCAGAGACGGACGGTAAGTTATAACGACGAAATAATTAAATAATATGACAAATAAAACCCACAAATATTTTGAATATTGACTTGTTAGTCGGGAGACATAGAGACCACTAATTTGTCTATGGTGGTTTTGTCTATACAATTAATAAGCACAAAATCCCGCTTGTCACACATTGAGTAATGCTGTCTATTAATGCGAGGAAATGTTTGTCGGATATAGATCCAAGCTGTTGGCAGAAAAAAACAATGCTTTGTACCCTGCAGGCGGAGAGATTTACTGTGATCTAGATATTGAATTACAGGTTTAAGACAACTTAGAATCATACCTCGTTTGATCGGTGAACAGCTGCATTATCCTGCAAACTTCCAACCTTCATTCGACGTTGGTAAATGCTTCTGAAAGTGAAAGTATATTCTAAGATGTCGATGGTTACCTTGATACTAATGTTCACCGTCGTGGACCGCCCGATCAATAGCCCCCCGGATTTGATAGTCATCAAATCTATCAGACTTTTAAAGTTCCTGAAAGCTGTTGTCGTCATTGTATTATCGCTTAAATTTCTTCACACATATGAAAATCTGTGTCAGTTTGTCAGGCTTATTTGAAAGTAAAACCAAATCCTAAAAGGAAATGCTCACCTAAATGGACGTCTGTTGTCGATATACTCCTAACTAAACACTGAGACTTTCCGAATTTAGTTCCCTGCCTGGTATAGACTTTGTCAGGCCGTTTGGCTAATAGAGGTCGAAACCCTTCATTCATTTCTTGTTATGCACATCAAGAAATCGCCCTTGGGAATATTCTTAATATTGGCTTGCGACTTACGCAGTAGTATGTCTGCTGCTGATTTCAGTATGTGCTTAAATTCAGCGTCCGGCAAGGAATACTTTAACGTCTTCGTCGTATGGCCTGGAATAGAACAGGGAAAGTACGTCGGACGCACACAATATATATTTGGTTGCAGCTACTGATTCTTCATGTGGAAAAAAAGAACACTGTCAGACAAGTTTATTACGGTGTTTACATTATAAGACGCCACATATTATTAAACCAACATTTTTAAAGTCAATTTTACCCCTCGCTTTTTGGCCCCTGTCAAAGCTTTATTTATCGACACAAAATCCCTGTTTAGGGTCTCGAAACGATGTACTCGTTATTTCTGAATGATTATACGCATGCTATTTTATAGCGCAGCTCGCTCAGTAAAGGCGTTTGATGTGCGCTACCAAAATAACTTGAAAAAATACAAGAATACCGGTAAGCTTTCGATTTCGACTAAGCGTGGCCTGCTTTGCTACAACAATATAAATCAAATACAAAGTTATGTTTGGTAATAAGTATTCTACTCATCAAATCAATTCGACAAACAACAGTTACTACGCTGAATCTATGTGACACTGTCCATTTAGATGACGATGGAAAATGCTGATGAATTAATTCATCTACTGCATTTCCTTCATTGGATTCCCGTTACCGAAAATTCTGGCTTGATTAATATGAGCTAGCTGATTTATCCTTGTATGCAGTTTCATGTGCAAAGGGCATTTGCACAAATAAACCTTCTATGTATATGTTATCGCTCAAGTATAATAACTAATTCTTTCTCTTCACATCTAGACATGCCCCAGTTAAATATTTTGTAGTCGTAAAATCAAGCCCCTAAAATTTATCTAAACTGAGTTAGCGAGAAAATGTATTTGTTCATGAAACCTCCCCGGTTAGAGTGAAAGCGGGACTACAGAAAATGTAAAAATACATTTCCAGGCATATTTGAGGGGCTTCACTAGCCGAAACATGACTAGACTCAGTTTAATCATTTATAGGTACTTTTATTCTGTCTAAAGCATGCGGAAGTTCTTGTAGCATTTATGTTCGTTTTGTAACAAGAAAATGCACAGATTTATTAATCATAAATCAGAATAATAAACTAACATAGTATTCTTAAACAACTAAAGATGCGCTTTGCGTTGTGAGTAGCATTGGATTCGTCCAGTTCCTTAAAACTGTTCATTTTTATTTAAGTTACGATTTTCGTGTTAGACTTCACAACTTTTGCATAAGATTGATCATTTGTCTAGCGCTCTTGGCCTATACATTAAATTTGCTGCACCTCATGACCAGTCGACTTGCCATTTACATTTTGCTCGTTGTGTCGCCATACAGTAGATGTGGTACCTCATGAAATGTCAACCAAAATTTCGAAATGTGTTCTCGTTTCGAAAAGATAAATTAAATAGTGTTGTCAGACTCATTAAGATGCAGCATACATCTATTATAATCCAGTTACCTCAGGGTGTCGGCTTTCGAAAGAACCTATTTTCGGCTGCACGCAAGATCCATTCTCTGCAAAAAATGACAACTTAAATAGCATGCAATTTTTTTAATTGATTTTCGTTGCCCTTGAAAATTCAATTATATTTCATGGAAAACAAGCATAAACATATTCATTCGTTTACTTATTCGTAGACAATTACGTCTTTTTCCACTTTCATACTCAAAAGAAAAGTATAATTCGGTTTTAGAAAACTTTCCTAATTCTCGAATAATTTTAAACCCGACCTGCTGTTACACTTCCTTTCAGGGCTTCAAAGCTACAGGCTGTATATTTCCATGTACGGAAAACCATGCATTTCTCTACGGTGTTAAGAGGAAACTATATGAGTTTCATAAAATTAAGCAGTGGATCTGAGCAATATTCTTAAGTTTACAAGCCACATTCGTAAAAGCAGATACATAATGTTTCATGAACGGCCATTTAACGGTATTAAAAAATCTCACAATTAGAAACTTTTTTTAAACCGTATTATACTCTTCTTTTGGGTATGAAATTGGAAGAAGACGTGATATTCTATCGAATAAGTAGAAGACTAAATATTTTTATGCATGTTTTCCATGAAATATAATTTAATTTTCAAGGGAATCGAAAATCAATGAGAATATTTTATGCTACTTAAGATGTCATTTTTTGCAGAGTATGGATCTTGCATGCAGCCGAAAAATGAGTTTTTTCGAAAGCCGACACCCTGAAATAACTGGATCATTTTAGATTTATGCTGCATTATGATTAGTTTTACAATACTGCTTTATTTATCATTTCGGAACGAGAACACATTTCGAAATGTTGGTCGGCATTTCATGAGTTAGTACATCTACTGTACACATGTAAACGTGCTTTATATGGACCAAGAATAACTACGAGTTATGGCAGGCTGTGATAATCAAATGCATGTGCCAGCCAGCATGTTTCAAACACCCCGCGACCTTTTTACACTCGGTTTGGGTGAAATGCCTTTCCTTTACCTGGTTAGTTTGGCTGAATCCAAGTTGCACTTCTGACCCTCAGCCATCTAGAACACAGTCGTTGTAATTCCCAGTCAAGTACTAGCGTGACCAATTTTGCACGTCTGACGACCTTCTAATCCAGGTATATAAGTTCAGGTTCTTTTATCATAACACAAATTATGATGCTAGTACCAGCGACTGGCCTCATAAGCCTTTTACTCTGTGGTTTAAGGAAAACAATAAGTATGTACATTTCTTGATTGTTAAATATTCCATTTGTATTTCTCTTCCCCTAAGAAACGTCGTACCTAAACTTTCGCACTTGTGGACTTATTGATACAAATTCAAAATATTCTGATTCGAAATTTTATTTAGAAAACATGACTTTATTTGCCACCGCAACAACACACGCACTAGAAGATGCCGTTTGCAATTCAACCAAATAAGACACAGTGCCAAAATTATGGTCATTTGTTCCTTAGCCTATCCAAAGCGACCGAATCAAGAGTATTTTTATCGCCACTCAATAGCCATCGCTAGCACCTCAGTAATAACTCATACAGTACTGGTTAAAATTTGAAACTATAATATTCCTTATGAAGCAACCATGCAGGACACTAAAGTCCTTTAACTGTAATGTATAAAATTCCTTCGAAATACAGATTCACAAGGCGGGACGGTCAAAGTGGATGATGAAGTGAATGCAACCAATTTCTCCCGCAATCGAACGCAGACTTCGAACGCTACCGAAATGCAGTCGACGATATTGATGAATGCGACGGAAACCAGCACCAATTTACCAACGCCGTCGACGTGGGATTCAGGTGGTAAGCACGTAAAAATGCGTTTTCCGGTTTTCTTTTCTGTATACAACTGTCAACTTAAGCGATGGTCGAATAGCCAGGCGGACCCCCGCAAAAGTATCAAATCCCACTAACGACACAGAGAGTTTTAACAGACCGATTATGCGTTGGATACCAAGGGGTCGTTTGGTAATCATCTGAAAATACAAAGAATTGTAATATACGTGAGTAGCATGTAGCCTCGTGCGTCAGCTATAATTACCATCGGGAAAGATAAGGTTTATTTCATGGTCAACTTCGACAGTTTAAGTTTTGGATTTGTTCAGTTCAATGGCACGATCGTGATTGAGGTGGCAATCAGGTTAGCTTAGTTAAGTTTCTAAAGTACATCTTATTTCCAAAACATGAAGACATCTAAGGAAAGAAAAACTTAAGTCGAGTATATCATCATCACCTTGTGTTTGAGACGTATCCGCTGATAGAAATTTTTCTATTTCGCAGTCTATGGAATTAAAAAACTTTTTATTACAATGCACTGTTATGCTCTCAAGTGAGGTTTTGCGTAAGTATAGGTGTTCCAATTTTATTACTGCTATAACTGTAAGTATATCTCGCATACTGAACGACCATATGCGCATTGAACCAGTGCATATTCTGAACCAGGTTGATGTTGTTGTTTATTTTTCAGAGCACGACTTCACAAACATTGTATCAACCGAAATCAGCTCGCGGGACAACACGACTGAAAAAACCTCTATAGGGATTGTAGAACCCGACGAGCCTCCGCCAACAACCCCAAGTTCTTCAAAGGAAAATAACGCCACGTTCTCATCCTCAGATCCGACTCTTTCATACGGTAAAAATTTTTACAAGTTCAATCAAAGAAAATCTCTTTAAGATTTGGAGAATTTACTGTTCCCTTCACTATTCCCGCTGGCATTGGAAAGACCTCTAATTGTACAGGCGAACATCGTACTTTTGGTAGCGAGTGGGATTTGCTCTCTATTGCATAGCACCTAAGAGCTTAAGTATAAAATCAGTTGGCTGGTGGCATAATGCAATTCGCACACTCGCAAGGACAGTGAAAATGTTGTGGTGTCAAAAACGGGCGAGTTTTAGGCTGATCGCTGGGAGATTCACGTGACAAGGCTAGTGCACAGGAGGTTTGACTGTGACTGTCTGTCCAAATGTCAACAGTAAGAAGATGCAGTTGTCTTATAATCGGGTTTATGCAAGAAGCAATGGTATTACTGAATCACTTTTTACAGTTCAACGCTTTGCCCTTTATGGTGGCCTTAAGATTTTTCAGTCAATTTAGAGGCTTCAACTCTTGTTTTACAAATTGAGTAACATTAATGTCGATGCCGTACATATACTCTTTTGGAAATTTAAATGTGGTGACTTCTCTTAAACTCTCTAAAATCCATGCTGTGTTCCAGAGTCAGTGTCGAAAGTTTGTATAATAAGCACTTAGGTTTTGAAAGATGAAGGTCAACAACGAAGCTCTGAATAATATTGAGGATGTCGATGAAATTAGATTTATTGAAAAAGGAGAGGTTTGGACATGCGGAGGGGAGAAAATGGAATGTTGTTGTCATTTGCCTCTGCACTCGTAGAAGCGGGGATTATTGTAAAGTGAAGGTTGTATATTTTGCTACTCATGGACATTTGACGCCTTGTCATTGGTTAAGGTGTCTGATCTTTCCTTCTTCTGCTCTGCAATAACGATACTTGCTTTCTAACAGCCGGATCTTGGTCTGACCTCTTGGTCATAGTATATCTAATAGTTGGGGCGTACACTGCATTTTGTATTCCTTTGTTTGTCTTGATAACCGTTAGGGATACTGGGGTCATACTGTGGATAAATTTATGAACTGCACTAAGATAAAAGTAAGTAGATATAACTTACCGTTGTAATCCTATCATGGCGATGATAATGATTGCAGTTCCTTGCGACAATCTACCATTAAAGCAGCAGGTACTCTCTAATGAAGAATACCCAAATAGATTCGCGATATTTGCATTTAAAATGCCATCGCTGCCTTTGGGTTGTGAGTCCTGAAGTTTGCAAAAGTATATCAGTTACATATTGATTAACCGAACCAACTCATTAAATGATAACTCACAATCTGAAATGTGCTTTCAATCAAAACAGGTTTATAATCCTAAAACATTTTTGCCAACTCATGAAGTCGAGTGCTGAGCAAGTATCATTTCATTCGACTATGGAAACCGTACTCAGTTAAAGATACCTACTACAGTTGCATGAGTGTTTATAGTTGATTGTTGACGATCCTTGAATTCTGGTATACTTTGTAAGCGTCATACACAAAAAGAATCCTTGTTGCACTCATTCGGTAGGATATTGAGTATTCTTAAATGCATAAATCGGAGGAAAGAGTTTTTCCTCTTTTGAAAATATTTTCCGATTCTCGAATAACTTCAAATACGATATGCACGCATTTAGGGTTCAAAAACACCCATAGTCTATACTTTCCGCGTAAAAAATAGTATATTTCGCTACGATATTGGCGCGATGCTAAAAAGGACACATAACATTTCACAATGGATATTGAGCCATTTTGTGCTTCATAATATGCAGCAATAAACGGAGACGTACGACGCAAAATGAATATATATTTCAGGATATGAAAATGTTTCATAACTTGCATATAATTTAAAGGAAACGCAAGTAGAAGCCAAAACAGTGCGCGAAAGAACGTTATTGCACATGTCTTCTATTCCTGAATTCGTAAAAACATTGACATTTAGTAGGGAAAATTCATACTAATAAGACAGTTGCGTTTTCTTGCGTAGACGGTTTTGCAGGCTGCTAAAGAGCACCTCGTTTAAAATCAGACATTGTGACACGAATGAAATATCTGAGGATTACGCTGTATACTAGTCAGTATTACAACGCACAAGTAGCTCTTTGTAATCAAAGCCATACTCCAAACTTTCAGTTAATATTTCTCGAGAGAAGCCAGCTGCAGTACACACAGCAAGTGTATGTACGATATACGATGACAAAATTTGGCTGATCAGACGTTTTTAGTTTTGCGTTCTGACAAACATTTTTGTATTTTTTCGCCACCCAACAGGCAATAAGCCTACTCTAATAAAGCAAGCTCAGCGCTTTATTGCCTATGGAATATTGTGCACTTTACTTTTGATTACACTTAGGCACGACGCAATCGCCTTCGGGAAATAAGACCAACAGTGCGAAATTATACGCAGAAGTGATCAGACAACTAGAACGCAGGAGGAAAGTTGCCCAATCATCCACATTCTACGATGGAAAATTTTACTTCCTCCATACGGTCGCGATGAATGTATCAACGATAGCCTGGTGTTCTAACGATAACCCAATAATGCTGCCGTCTTCAGAAGCAATATACTTTAACTGCTCTTTCCACATTGCTAAACTGGAACTGAGCATCCTTCAGTTGGTGCGTCCTTAATTGGCATTCGGAAGTTTATAATCTAGTTGTGTGTGGGGCACTTTTTATTTCCTTTAAAATATGTACAAGGAATGTCATATATAATTGTTTATTTATCACACAGTTAATTCTTACCGTGTTTCAGAATTTACCCGGCGGATCTTCGAACCTTGTTCGCAATCTTTACCTGCGGAATGTTAACGCTTTGGTGGTCGTTAAATCTTTCAAAGACATCCTGAAAACTGGATGGATTACGCTTCCAGGAGAGGAATATGCAGGGAGATATGTTTTAAGAGAAGTAATGCCTTTAATCGTTTCTAAAAAAACCATACAAATGGATGAACTGAAACATGTATTTGAGCATTCTTTAAATGCCGGTCAAATGCCATGGCTTTCCCAGTGCTGCTATTATTAACAATGTCTTTTTCGTATTAAATTACCTGACTTTGACTGTAACATTCATTTGTATAAAACATCTTTACAATACTTCTCGGTCATTTACTCTCCATTAAAGAGGTTCACGTACTCTGCGGTCAGTACTGAATCCTAGCAGGTGCGAAAAAGTATAGTCAGGCTTTTCTAGCGAGAGAATTTCTTGGATACACACTACCTACGAGGAAGGTCTTGGCGAGAAATACATACGCTCAAATGGACTGATATTCCGGGTTATGGCAAGGTTAAAAATTTAATAAGCGGTACAGGTGCGTAGGACTGATTCCTGGACATGGTGTGAGTTAGCAAACGTGGAACCTGTTTCGTACGTAATTTTACGCACAACGGGGTTGAAAAAGAATTCGTAAGCCAACTGTTTGAATTAATAACGGGGAATAATTATCAAATTTCTACTCAATAAAGGTTTATTTGACGATGCCTTCGACATATGGGTGACATACTCCTTAAGAGATTTATATTTAAATAGATAAACATCAGTCGGTTTGGTTTTTAAGACACCAGCTTAATCGCCTCGACTGACGATTTGAACCGTTTAAATCACAGCAAGGTAGAGTAGGCACAGTGATTTGCGTGTGAATTAGTTCATAGTGATGGCAGAATTGCGCAGAGCACACCGCATCCCCTCATCCTCCCTGTGTCGAGAGATAATCAAGAAAACCGAAGGCGAGAGACTTTTGTTGCAATCGACTGAAATTGCATTATAATATGGCGGTTTTTGTTGAAAAGGTTTATGTCCTTACGCACTTTCCCAAAATCTTAACACACATTTATATATCCTTTTGTGGAGATAAGGTCATAGGACGGTTCGACCGTCGTTGCCGACAATGCCCACCGTGTCCTCCGCACCAGGGCAAAGTAAGTACGATGACTTGCGTGTGAATTATTTCGTCGTGATGGTAGGCTTTTGCAGCCTTTACCGCACGCCATCTCCCTCCCCCACCAGTGCCCGGTGTTAAGACATGGTCAAGAAAACTGGAAGTTGGAGAGAACGCCGGTGGCTGGTACGGCTGACCCGCACCTAAATGTAACACCTAACCCCTGTTCCACAACAAAACTTTGACCAAGACTTTGGTCAACAAGAAATAGATAAGAAAGGTCAGGATTGCTGGGCAAGCCTGCACACGACCTGTATAACCAGCGGGACGGTAAGCGGTTACAATCCTTAAGACCAGAAGAATAAGCAATCGCTGGAACAATGGCTTTATTCGCCTGACGTTTCGGATTCTCTCTTGAATCCATCATCAGAGACAGTTGCAGAAAAGGGTGGCTAGTGTACAGGAAATCGCAGTATTTATAGGATGCGGTCTCCATGCTACCGCATACCTACAGCAATTAACCGTGCTCACTTCATCAAGGATTGTTGCCCGCTGGTGCGCTAACTGCTTGATAGCCGGCATGCAAGTTGTTAATTGCTGACATCTCATCACCCGTGTTGGATGCTGGCGTGATGATTGCTCGGTCATCTGGCTCACCGGCTTGAGCGCATCCCGAGTGGTCAATTGCTTTGGTCAGTCTATGCCTCAGGACAGAATATGAAGTGGGGATGTCGTTGCAATTGTTGATAGACTGAGGTTCCGTGAACCATGACTCAAGCAACTCGCGGCTCACGCGATTATCCCCTCTCGCGAGAATTTCGGCCTCATCGAACTTGAATGTGTGGCCGGGTCTCGTCGAATGAACCGCGACCTGAGAGTTGGCGTCATTTCTCCGTACAGCTGCCACGTGTTCGGCGATTCGCGTCCGGAGCAGTCTTCCAGTTTCTCCGACGTAGTTGCTTTGTCCGCAACTGCACCAGATCCGGTAAACGACTCCAGATGTTTCTTGCCGTGGCAGTGGGTCATTTGGCCTCATCAATTCACGCCTCATGGTGGCCTCCGGTCTGTGCGCAACTCCAACCCCAAGTGGTGCAAGAAGGCGGCTAACGGCCTCGGAGACGTTCTTGATGTACGGGATCGCTCGCCAGAATTTGGGGTCGGCGCGATTTTGTCGCTCGTCTCGTTTGCG